CTTTTTGAAGTAACAATCAGTTTAAAGATTAGGAAGACTATAATTATGTCATCCAAGTCACATGCTTACTGAGGTTCAAGGCTCAAAAACACACTAATTTAGGCAGCTATGGTACAGAGATTCTTAAAGCCATAACCTAAGATCAGGGGATTGCTAGTAGCCTTTCATGAAGGATAGGCTTGCAAACTTGAGTTCGTATATGAACTCCGCTAATTACTCGCTGTGGGAACTCCAAAGGCCGAATAAACCTCTCTGCACCTGCTTCTTTATCTGTAGGCTGGAAACAGTACCATGGGGCAAATGAAATGAAGATTATGAATTCTCATAAAATCTGCCAGAAGGATGCTCTCAGCAACAGCTTCCGTTTTCTCTCCTCTCTAGTACCTTTTCTACTATTTTTAAGAGGCTTTCACACAATGATCAAGAGGAAAGTAAGAGAAACAAAAGGAGTGTTAACTATTTAGCAGTCTTAGAATAAGAAACATAAAAAATAGGTTTTCTGACTTGATCATGAAGCACAATTTTCTAAATAGAACATCGCTATGTTTGAACTACCTACACAGGAAGTGTGAAGGAAGTTAGTGTCTAACTTGCTATGATCTTGGTTCTTTCAAATAGTGTTGAAATGATAAAAGTTGATGGTAAGACTACTCATTCTCCAAAACTCACAAGCTGTCTTCAAGGATGAGAACACATCACGTGAATAGGGAAAAAGGACACTTACGTGTTTTAATTAGCTTAAGTCTAATGGACATAAAGCCATTTATGAAGAATGGCATTTTAACAGGTGCAGTTATCAGTAACATGAGTCACAATGAAAATTAATAATTTAGGTTGCATTTGTTCCCTTCTGAGAATTATAACCAAGATCAAAGACAGCAGGCAAAGCAGCTACGGAATGAGCCAGAAATTTATATTCACCAATTATGAAAGGACGCGTGCTGGGCAATGGGGACACCGCAGCACTTCTGCCTGGGTCCTCGCCCCGCCACACACCTGTGTCCACTTCACTGTGGCTGAAGTTACTCTACCTCTCCTTTTATTCTTTTATGTTGATTGTGGCAAGACAGAAATTCCTCTGAAGCAGGGCTTCTTTCAGGTATTCCTTTAAACTTCAGTTTAATGGAACTTGATTATTCCATGTACATTAAAAATAAGGAACATGCATGCTTGGAATTAAGAGAAAGAAAAAAGAGGATGTAGTAACTAGAGGTTCTGGGTTGTAGCTGTAAGCTTTACCTATTTAAAAATAGCATTATTCTTGTCTAAGATTTAAGTCAATACAATAAGTCAATAGCTCTACTCATGTCCTTTACTCCTCTTTCTCTAGTTATTTCATAATTATTCTGTCAGGTTGTTAAGGGTAATGACCCTATTTTAACATCAAGGGGGAAAATTGAGACCAAAGCAAAGCAGATGTTCCCTGAATTGCTAGAAGTTGGCCTTGTCAGAATTACTGAATACATGAATTCTGACATGAACAGCATCTATAAAACTGAAATGCGAGGAGAGCCCAGCTGTGAGTATCTTTGTGGCTGCTTCTTCCGGCATATCTGAATTCCCTGATGCCAAACTGATGAATAGGAATCAGGTTAATCGATGAAAGTGGTGGAAGTGATCATTCAAGCACATGGATTAGTGTCTTTGTACAGCTGGTCCAGTTCAGTACGCTTACTGCTTGAATCCATGTACACTGAGGTGGCCTCAGGTTACTGTTCTAGTCACCAACCTATGTCCTTTTAAAGCACACACATCTGAACATCTGGGGAGAAAACGCATTTGGCTAATAACATTTACATTTCAAATCGAAGGAACTGTCGTTTAACCCAAGTTTTAATAAATGTTCATTAAAAAAAACCCAGTAAAATGCAGAATACACTATGTTTAGGAGGGAAATCTATAGCATAATAATGTTGACATTACACATACAAATGTCATTTAAATAAAACACTAGAATAGACATTTCAGCTAATATGGTTATGCATGAAGCCATACTGAACCAGAATGGGGAAGGGCGGAAGAGCTCCCATTGAAATATTCACCTGTGCTTTTACTTTGTCAGGGACCCACACAGAGGTGGCTTAGAATAAGGCGGTCTGACCCCTCCTTAGCACCAATCTTCCTAGTATATATATTTTAAATCTTGTCCTAATCATCCCTTTGCTCTACTCGTGGCCGAAAAATAAAGAGACAGGCAAACCTCTGAATCTTGTTTTACTGTGGCTTGTGTAGTCTTTGCTTGAAAAGGCAAATGTAAATTTATTGCTCAGGGTTTTTAAAACCCTTACGTTATAAAGAAAACTTCATCATTTTTAACTTAAATTTTTTTTTTATTTTATATTTCTTTGGACAGGGTCTCACTACATGGTTCAGACCCATACTGATCCTCCTGTTTTCAGCCTCCCCAGGGCTGGGATTCCAGGGATGCACCACCAAGCCCAGACTCTGGCTTGGGGGTGGGGCCAGTGCGGCACGTGATGCAGGGGATCGAACTCCAGTCCCTGCAATTGCATAAGCAGGTGCTTAGTCCGCTGAGCTATCTCAGCAGCCCTAACAAAATTTTAATTCTTATCAACTTGCAACCTTTAGACCTTCTTCCTATACTTAGAAAAGTTTTTGGAAGTGTAAAAATAAAAGATCAATAGGTAGCTTTAGAAATCCTCTTCATAGAGGCTAAGTTGATATCTTATGCTTTTATTATTTAACATAATAGTCTGTCAATCATATACTGAATATATGAGTTGACTTTGGTTTGGGGATTTTTTTGTTTTTACAGAAAACATCAAGATGTAAAGATGAACAGAAGAAAAGAGAAATTAATGGTGAAACAGTTGTATGCATTAAGGAATTAAGGAAAACTACCAAAAAGACAAACACACAATTATACACATTCAAAGTTAAATCCAAGTCCCTTATCTGAATAATGTTTTTAAAAAATAGGGCTCAGTAGAATAAGCATGTCCCTAGCAAGTGCAAGGGCCTGCATTCAATAACCAGTTCCGAAAAAAAAAAAAAAATTACACATTTAAATATAAAAATGTTCTTCAATGTATTATTATTTTTTGTACTTTAGGCAAGGGTCCACAGTACTAGATCAGACTGGTAGTGATTCTCCTGTTTACAGCCTCCCAAGAGCTGGGATTACAGGTGCGTGCCACCACACCCAGTCTCAATTGCCATCTCAGGGTGCCCCAGGGGCGGGGCCAGCCCAGCAGACCTGGGGATCAAGCCCTTGGCCCCTGCACCTGCTTGCAGGTGCTTTAATCCACTGAGCTATTTGGCTAGTCCTTTTATTATTTTTTTAATGGGGTAATGAGCTTAATATTATATTTTATTTGAGTATCAAGCACCTTGGAATATAAAATAGAACACTTATTTTCTAGCAACTATGGATGTTCTGATAGTTAAATTTCTGTAGAATGCTAACAGGCAAGAGCTGTATATTATTGTAAATGTTGGCAGATATCTATTTTGAAGAGGTCTCTATAGAAGATTCTCTTTCCTTCACCGATCAGGACTTGGCACTTTCCAGCGAGTACATACACACACTAAGACTTGCATGATAACTTCTTAACTATTGATCGATCCTGACACTGAAGGACTTGCTAAGTAATAGCTTGGTGTATTCTTTTTTTGTTTTTTATGTATTTAGTACAGGGTCTCACTATACAGATCAGACTTGTAGTGATCCCTCCTCTTTTTCAGCCTCCCTAGACCTGGGATTACAGATGTACGCCACCTCACCCAGTCTCATTCGTAGTCTCAGTGTGCCCTGGGGGTGGGGCCGACACGGTAGGCCCAGGGATCGAACCCCAGCCACTGCATCTGTCCAAGTAGGCTCTTTAATCTGCTGAGCTATCTGGCTGGCCCACCTTGGTATATTCTTTACCTATCATCTTTTAATGCAATAAATGCACAAATAATATAAAATACTATGGTTTGACAAGTGTTATAAAAATGAAACTGAAGAGCTATAACTTATATGTGAAATAAATAAACAAAAACAAGAGTCGAAGCCATAGGAATTAAGTAAAAGTCTAGTTTCCAGAGGCAAGGGATATCCCAGTAGGATAGAGGGGGGAAAAAGAGGAGAAAGAAGTTGATCAAAGAATCCAAGCTCCCAGTTAGAGTAAACTCTAAGGATCTAATATCCATCTCATGGTAACTAAGGCTAGTAATAATGTATTGTATTCTTGAAATTTGATATGAAGTAGATCTTAAGTATTCTCACTAAAAAACAAAACAAGAAGATCATTATGTGAGGTGATGCATGTTTTAATTAACCTGATCATGGTAATCATTTCACAAGGTATATGTGTATCAAGTCAGCATGATGTACATTTTAATATGTACATTATAATTTTGTCAACTATACCTCAATAAAGCTGAAAAAATACTGTACCAAAAAGAGACATGAAGTAACACAGGAGCAATTCTAGACAAAGAGGTAACAGTGACAGAATAGCTGCTGTTTTCAATACACAAGGGCTCACTACACCTATGTGGAGAGTGAAAGGAAAGAAAAAAATTTATCTTTAGAAATTATATATGATCCCTGTATTTCAAAGGGCTAACATATTCGAAATTTAAATCTTCCAAAATGCAATTTTGTAATTTCCTATTAAAATAAGATAATGATACTTGCTATATTTTATCTCTCTTGATTTTGTACATGAAAAATAATGATGATAATGAGTGAATGACATTAAAAAGGAACTTATTGTTTTTTCCATCAAAGCTCATTAAGGTGCAGGAGGAGATAGGAGGAAAGATGCGAGGAGGTCTTACACTAGTCAGGACACAGATTTTTGTCTCTTTTAAGCCACTCCATTTCTTCACCCTAATCTGCTCCCGAAGAGCCCAGGCTGAAGGGAGAGATGTAGCCATGTGTGCCATTTACAAACTAGAATGACACTTCTGGGGAACTGGAGATGTGGCAGCTCCCATTATCCACTGGTCACCGTGGCAATTTTATTCCATCCTGAGAATATGATACTTACTCTTGTACTGCTCTGGCTATGGAAAGGGCCGTAGATCCAGTCTCATTAACGCTATCTAAGGTCACATTTGGCAGGTCATCATCATCACTCTCACTTTTACTTTGTCTGGGAGATAGGCCTCGGGGGTCCATTTGTGCTGGGAAAAAAAGGCATATATAATGAATTACAATTAGTGTGCAGAAGTTAACCTTGTCCTGGACCAACATCAATCATGGAGTATCTCTTCTGTGCATATCACACGAATGGAATTTTCTAGACATTACAGGAACTAGAGACCTCTATGCATTTATGCACTGAGTGCTCACTGACTCTGTCTCCCTTCTTCATTGGACTCACGAAGCCTACATCCGCTTCCAAGAGTTTCAGAGATAGCTACAGAATACCAACTATAATATCTGTGGCATTACAAATTCCTGGGAGGTTGAAAGTTGATTTGGTCACTTGTGAGGTACTGTCCCACTCTCCGGTTTCTCCTCCTCCTCATTTTTGCTGCCTGGATTGTGGCTAATGTACACTGCTCCTGGCGCTTCCTCTGGAAGGCAGGGAGCACCAGGCAGAGGAAGTATGACTTGCTTAACATCCTCCCAGTAAGTTTTAAAAAGAACAAGGATGGCATGCCCCAACTACAGCTATCTTTCATACATCAGTGAGCTGTCACGTAGCTTCTTGTCACTGCTGTGCATGCAGATCTGGATGCATGAACACGGAGCGGTGGTGAGCATGCTTCTATGTGCTAACACGTGCTCCTCATTTCCATTCCTATTTCGTTTTTCAAAAAGGTACTGTCAGATGGGTTTCTCCAACCATGAGCTTGCTAAAGTGAGAAACGGAAGCCCTGACCTCACTGACCAGAACCATGAAATCTCCAGTAGAAGCTTTACTGTTCATATGCAATATGTTAAAATATATTTTTAAATGACATTTAATTTGTACCATCTTTTCTCTAGAAACATATTTACAAATCGCTGCCTACAGTGTCTACTGGCCCTCACTCCTAGCACAAAAGAAGTGTACCTTCTCAATTAGAAGTTCTGACTTAGCTACAAAATTGTTATTAAAATACAAGGTTTTCAGTCCCACAGATTTAGCCCAGATAGATGTTGCTTACAGGTGTCTACACAGGAATTCTAAAATCACTATTCCTTGCAAAAGAAAGCAAAGCGTACTATAAACAATGGTTACAATGACATTTTGGTATAAACATATTTAAAATCATGGTCAGAAAAACATTCGGATTTTGAAAAAAAGATACTTTTCTTCTTTTCTCAAATTGTTTTGATAGTATAAATTACACCTTAGAATCACATGGAAATGCTGAGAGTTCACCATTTTTTAACCTACACACAGGCAATACCTTATGATTGTACACAATATTTAAAATATACTAAAAAAAAAACCAAAAAAACAAACACCCTATACCTAAGAGAATTTAAAGATTTTTAACTGAAGTTGGTTAAGAACTGGTATTACGTACATTTTACCAGTAAGTACCTATAAATTTACATGTGTTTTTCACAATGGAAGTGTATTATAAACGTTGGTTGAATTAAAATAATTCAAATAGTATAAAGCAGCAGTCTTTATCTAAGGGCCAGTTTGCCCTCTAAAAGACTCCCGCAGATCTGAAGACAGCTGCTTTGCTGTAACTTGCGGGGAGAGCTAAAGATGCTGATGGTATCTAGTGGTAAGAGATCAAGATACCATCAAGCACACCTACTAGCAATCGCATAGCTATGCCCTAGTTTCAAAGTCACTAACAAAGAAATTAAGCTACACATTGGATCATTCATATTTTCTGGCTGTTTCCCAAATAAAGCAATTCACTTGTCAGGTGACTCTGCATTCATGGCTTCTTTAAATACGGCATTCACTTCCTCAGATGCCAAGAATTATGAAGTACCAGTCATTAGAAGCTTTTGAATGTTTGCTTTGTAGCATTCACTGTGGACAAAGCCTGTTTCTTTCCCATCTGATCTCTGGACAAGATGCTCTAGAAGGGAGCTGTCCAACAAACTGCAGGGCTGCAGTTCTGCCACCAACTGAGAACACAGAACTTAGCTATGCAGCCACCCAAATAGCACCGGAGGAACCGTTTCACTTCAGATTCATTTGGGCTAGAGGTAACAGGAAGTAGCTCAAAGTAACTTAAACTAAAAGGAATTCCTTTCCGTCATTACTTAGTAACATGTACTGTCATGTGAGCAACATAGAGTATGCTTACACAAACTAAGAAGGCTACATAGGCAATCGCAGTGTCGTCTTATGCAAGTGCTGTTGTATGTGGGGTCTGTTGTTACCTGAAACATCATCTGTACTGGACAGATACTGAGCAACTTGTAGAATGCAAGGTAAAGAAGAACAATCATGACAGGACTCACACAGGAAGATAGAAGCCCTTTTCAGCCAGGAATTCATAGACAGTTCTTTTTGAGCAATCTTGTTCTAGAATGATTCATTTAACAGCTGTTCATAATTATTCAAAGCCAGCCAAGAAAATGAACACCAGCTCTATCTAGGTTTCCGAATCCCATAGTGTGTGGTGCTACATATGCCTGGAAATGTCAACAATGTAACGTTTAAAGTTGGTGAAACACTGTACACTAAGACATATTTGCCAAGATATTGAACCAACCAAAAGACAAAGAAGAGCATATTCTGGTGCTGCCATTTTTTTTTGTCCAAGACAACTGGAATTCTCATGGGTAAGTGATTCAACTCAAGGAAAAACAGGCAGTTAACCAAGAAGCAATCTGGCTCTGAAAGTTCAAGTCTAACTGTTCAAAATATTCTAAATAACTTGTGTGGGAGTTATAGCATGATCATCTAAATTATGTTATGTTTATATTTAATGAAAGTATAAAATATGTTAAAGAACATACCCTTTCTGATGTACTTTTCAGGAGCATCATAATTGAGGATTTCTTTCCAATATTTTCAATAAATATTATGAAATACATCTGCTACCATCAAGCTGGGAAACTCTTTTTACCCATACCTTCAGCCAAGCTGAGGAAGTAATTAGAAAGGCTTTTTAAAAATTTGCATTGCTGATTAGGTCAGATGATTAGCTTATCTACATACTTGCATAATTCCACTCTATTTTTATTAAATATGGAATAGGGACATCTACCCTAGTTAACCTCCATTAGTCTTTCTGCATCTGAACCCAATTATAAAGAGCTAATTCTATATGATGCTTATTTAGGGGTAATACAAAAGTTACCTATGCACCTCCTCACACACAAAGAATTTGGTTCCCTAAAACAGTTGATTTATAAACATCTGAAAATAATTTATCCTTGAGATTTTGTTTCTTTGAAATGAAAAAGGAATCAGAATTTTGGGGAACCTAGGAATTGGAGACATTAGGGGACACTTGCATGAGTTTCATTCCATGAGACAAAACCCCAGAAAGGCAACTGCAAAATCCTCAAACTTGAAGTTGAGCCTACTGACTTTCAAATATCCAACCATGATAGATTATTACTACGAAGATTTCCCCAACATATCCTATTTTTCCTGTATCCAGCCCTTATGGAGCCACTTCTCACAGTGACTGAGTTTCACCATGTGATTGAATGTAGTCAATGTAACATGAACAAATATGACACAACTAAAGGCTGAATAGTACCTGCAGAATGGGTCTTCCCTTTCTTGATGCTTTTAGAAGCAAGCCACTAGGTAGGTGAAGAGGCCTGGGAGTGTCTGAAGGCAACAGTTGCTGAGTTGGAAACCAGGTTTTTAAACCAGCTAGTCACACTCCAGCCTTGGATGTATGAGGGACTTCAGGTGAGGCCAGCATGAAAGTGCCCTGCCTACCCCCCATTCCAGACTGGTGACCAACAGAACTATGACCAATATAAATGCTGCAGTTTTATTCTACTAAATTTTGGGATGATTTCTTAACAGCACAAAACTCAAGGTATGTAACATTCCCAGCTCCTTCCATATATTTCCTAGCAATGATAGGGACCAACTATAGCTACTGTTCAAGCTACCCTTTGCTTGTGGATTCTCCTCCCAATGCTAATTGTCTTAAGTGGGATACTAATATAAAAAGGAAAATAAAAGGCACATAAATGCGTTTGACATTGTAGTTTTAAATTCAAAATATTGAAAATGTTTTTACAGGTGTTCTAATGTTACAAACTTCTTCAGCCCCTCACTACTGCTCAGGCAGGGCCTGTCCAGTGGACATCATGGCTCAGGAGAGCAGAGTGCAGCTGCCCCTTCTCTCACACACATACTTGACTAGAGGCTCTTTCAGGTAGACCCTCCCAAGCATCTGTCACCCAAAGCCATGTCATTTGGCTCTTTCATCCCACATAACAGATTTAAACTTTGCAGTCATACAGAGGTATCTGACTGCTTTGAAATTCACCCAATTTGGCACCCACTTGGTACATTTGAACATGAAAATTCTGTCCTTGCCCTCCTGTTTTTTTCCTTGACACATAAACTGGAAACTGTCAGTGCCGACTGCCTTGAAACTTGCTGCCCATCCAGCCACAATCATGCGTTTGCTACTCATTACACATTATAGAACCAACTCAGGATGAGTGTTTCTCCAAAGAATGGTGGACTGAGGCAGTTGTGTGGAGCCAGTGTCTGCGTTGGATGTCCTTCTACCCTGCTCTACCCTGGGGGCTTCTTACAGTCTATTTCCTCTTCTTACTTTAGTAGAAGTCACTTGCTCACTTATCTACTGACACAGGAAATGAAGAGTTTCCCTAAGTCACTGTGTTAAATAATTACTACACAACAACCTAGACACATCCACTAAAAAGTTAACAGACTAATCCGAATGATGGGTGAGGAGTGTGACTCAGGGGTTGTGTGTTTTCCTGCCATACAAAAGGTACCGGGTCCAATCTCAATAACTCAGAAGGAAAAAAAAAGACAAAAGCAAAAAGAATCCCATATGGTCATAGTGGATCCCTTCCTTCACCCATAAGGGGTGGGGGAGGGAAGCCCACAGACAGAAGGGGTGATAGGCCACTGGGCAGGCAATGGATCTGGTGCTGTTGGCCTGTCTTCTCTTCTTGTAGCCACTGATGTGATGGCCTGTTACCTGCAGATGTCCTACTTGTTCTCCCTGTCAAAGCTAAAACATGTCCTACTGGAGCAAAGCTGATTTCTAGCAGAGAAGCTCCTATATGTTGCAAAGAATAGGAGTGGAGGGGTGGAGGGATAGGGTGACTGTGCGTGGCTGGGGTAGACTCTGCAAGGCAAGACGTGTGGGAGTCAGATGATCACCAAGGGGAATGTCCTCCATCACATCCAATGCAGAAATTGTTCTGATAAAGGAGAGTCACAGAACTGCTCTAAGATAAAACCTCAGCTCTTGCTTCAGAGAAAATGGGGTAACCTCTGGTCCCTGCTGCTTGCAGCCACATGGTCATGGGTACTTGGTGGTCATCCTGCTTTACCCTGACCCTAAACATACTGTTTCTTCAATCATCTCCTAATGACATATATCAAAAACATACTGAATTCTTCTTAAAAACCCACATTATCATTAATCTCTGTCAAAATACTATTCACTTTGAACACACTCATCCTCTCTTGCAACTTTCTGAAGCAGTTTTGGAAGTCTTCTTTTGTGAATGTTTTTTCATGGCTGCCTCAATGTCCTAAATTGACTCAAAATTTTTATTCCCATTTCTATCAAATTAAAATATCACTGTGTGTTCTTATCCACTGTATTTATCAGATCTGGCACTATGCAACTTCTGCTTGTTCTCCTAATTCAACATGACCATGAAAGGTCAATGTTTAAAATCAACTCAGGCTAGCTAGGCAGCCACACAAAGCAACTACAGACAATGGGCTTGAATGGGCTGCTTTCTTCCTGGTTGCGGCTAGGGGTGAGCTGTTGAGGGACACAGCAAACAGCAAGTGCCACAGTTCTGAGGTGGACGTGTGTTCTCCATGCCTCAGCACCTGTCCGGGGCTGCAAATGGAACCAGTGAATGGAGAGTAGGTAGGGACAAGGAACAGAGTTCATGCAGAGAACTCATCCTGAGTTTTGCTCTAGATGAGAAGGAAATCGTTAAAAGGATCCTGATTGAAGAATGCTTTGATGTGAGTTGTCTTTTGATAAGGATCCGAGTGCCAGGGCACCAGGCTGAAGATGCACACATGGGACTCATCAGTGACACGAACATTACTACTCTCTAAAACCTCTTGCTGTTCCTTCTTTGCTTACTTTATGCTGGCTTCACGCAGCAGCCAGTTAAAACTCAGGTTCAGATTAGATGAAGGGCTCAGGAGCGTACTCTTCACACTATACCTGTACAGCTGAAATTCTGAGCTCATCTGGCTCCAGAACACGTATCAGCTGTTCAGATACACAACTTGCTTTTCTCTCATATCAAGGCTGAATGAGAGTGCTTGCTGTGGCAGCACATATATGAAAACTGAAATGATACTGAGAAGATTAGCACAGCCCCTGTGCAAGGATGACACGCAAATTTATCAAATGCTCCAAAAATGTTAAAAATTTTTACTTTGACCAATTTTCTATGCTAATATCTGTAATAAAACAGCAAGGTGCAATATAACAACCATTGTTGAGTATCTTTCATCTTTTTTTAAACAATGTATATCAGCTCTGCCTTATCTTTTACTTTTTCTTTTCTTTTTTTTTTTTTTTTTTTTTTTTTTTTTTTTTTTTTTTTTTTTTTTCCAGTACCGGGGATTGAACTCAGGACCCTGTGCTTCCCAGGCGAGCGCTTATTCTACTAAGCTATCTCCCAGGCCTTTGCCTTATCTACTGTTTTTCTCTTTAAAATAAATTGAAAGGGTCAGCCAAATAGCTCAGTGGATTAAAGTGTTTGCAAGCTGGCGTAGGGGTTCAATCTCCGGGCCTGGCATGCCCGCCCTGCCCCCAGGGCTGGACGAGATGGCAATTGAGACTGGGCATGTGCTTGGGAGGCTGAATACAGGAGAATCACTACAAGTCTAATCTAGTAGTGAGACCCTGAATACCCTGTAGAATTAAAAACAAAAACAAAAACACCCCACCAAAACCTCTCAATGTTCTCACAAGCCCTGGTCCTCTTCTCGGATCTGATGCTGCAGACGCTGATCAGCCTTCAACAGTGCAGGCCCACAGCGCTCTTCATGCTCACTCCCGGCCTCTTACAGCTCCCTCCTCCTCCTGGCGGGATGGGCAAGTGAAGGCCTGAGGGACTTTTCGCTTGTTTTTGTGTGTAACTTTTCTTCAGCCAGGTTCATTCACAGCCTATCTGCTGCTTCAGCACCCACAGCGTGGCCTGGAAACCACGCAGTTCACCAGGACCTCTCCCTGCCTTGGGGCACGGTCTTCCTGTGGTCTGCACTGTACTTTCTGGGCCTCTTGCTCCTCTGACTGAAGGTCCTCCTGTCTCCTCCTGCATCTCCACTGGCTGCACAGCCCCAAGAGGGTTTGGCCTGCTTTAGCACTCCTCTTCTTTCTGTCTCTGTTGAAGAATGTCTCAATAACTCCTCCAATTCCACAATTCCACAATTCCTATCTCCGTGGGAATGACTGCTGAACCCACGTTCCCAGCTCTGCCCTCTCCCTAAACCTTAGCTCGCAGTTCCAGCACCCTACTGGCTACTCAGTAAGGTAACCAGGAAGTTACCTTGTACTAGAGCCTTCCTCCTGGTTTCTGAGCTTCAACTCGCGATTCATCACCCTCTCCTGGTCTCCCAGGCTCCCAGCATTCATTGCATTTGTCACTCTCATGAAATCAGCTGTTAACTGTTCTTGCTTTTCACATATAATTTTTCTGGAACAGCTCCGTTTCTCTTATAATTTCTCACTGAACTTCCTCAAGGTCCTGCTACATGTACTCATTCCATATGGTGTTTCTTTAGGTAAGTGGTTTTTACAACTTTCCTGAAAACATTCCATATTCTGAATTTTTTCTGCCATTAGACAAGGATCAACAGCTCCAATTCATCTTGTATTCACAACTCTGACTCTAAGTCTTTTCATCCAGCTTGATCAGACTATTGCCCTAATATTCAATTCAGCTCATCAAAACCAACCTATCTTATGGAGTAAGTTCTCATGAACCTTCCTCCCACTTTCTAATTACCTATAATCTCTCTGTTTAAAACAAAACAAAACCCCTGATAATTTGTTTTATATATTTTATGGCTTTTGTTTTGTTTTCGTTTATGAAGTGCCGGGGATTGAGTCTAGAGCCTGGGAGGCAAGTGATCTAACCTCTGAGCAAAAAGCCCTAGCCTTGTATTTGCGCTTCCCAATGTGAACTATAGTTAAGCAATACTTATTTTACATCTTGTTATTCTGTCTGTCACATGCAGAGAAAGGCCATGTCAACTACACTCCTTTGTATAATGTAAAACATAATATTTACTGATGAAGATTATGGTAATAAGTGAAGAGTGTTCCTTAAAACGATCACAGTAGTTCTCACTTGGCAGGAGATTCTGCAAGATAATGATAAAAGTGTCCAATTCACATTTTATTTTAAAAATTGCATTTCGACTTGCATTCTAATGCTAACATTTGTGGAAGGAAAGTCCCAATCATTAAATTTCTATTACTCTGTGAAGTCTTAGATCATTATATTTTTGGCTTGAACAGGCCATGGGATGACACGGAAATGAAAATGTTCATAATTTCTATTCACTTTTCAGCTAAATTACATTTAACAGGCTTCTCATTCCCTTTAGGGAATCATTTTAAATACTTCCTCATACTTCCATTTCTATCACACGAGTTACTGCAATAAGGAAATACCATTTAAATATACTTTAAAAATTAATGTTTGTTGAGATCACCACAAGAGCTAAGATTCCATTTTTCTAGAGAATCATGACTAAAACTACTCTCATTTGTAAAAAGAAAATGCATACAGATTTACAATTGACTTGTGTCCCCTGAAAGTTTGTCTTACAGCACAAAAGTCTCTTGTGATTTAAAAAAAAGAAAGTTCATAAAGTTCTCCATGAATAAGTAGGATTTTCCATGATGCCAGGCCATCGGGTAACTCCTTCTGGCCCAGGCTGAGAGGTAGCACCGCACCACTATTTCCTGCCGCTGTCCACCTCGCCTATTCACTATAACTGATTGAAACCCAAGCCAGCCAGCTCCCACTGATTCATTCAAAGCTGAGTCTATTTTAGGAAAAGAAGATGTACTGTTTTTATTTTTATTTTATTTTTGCGGAACCAGGGACTGAACTCAGGCCCTTGCACTTGTCACGGAAGCACTTATTCCATGAGCCATCTCTCTGGTCCCTATACCGTTTTTAATAATGAAGTTATTTTGTGGTTAGTGCACAGGGTGATGCTGAAACCATCAAACTCAGCTTCATCTACTCTTCTAACACTGCCAGCCAAGCAGAAGACCCAGGACTATCATGGACTACTGGACTCTTGGAAGACTTTACTGAGTTAACACACCTAGAATATTTAAATGACAGAATTAAACAAAAAGAGGGGATATAGATGAATGACCATTTTGTATCTGCGTATTCAAAATGTTTAGGATAGATATATAGCTACATTCTCTTAATCAATAGAGAGGTTTGTTCTAATAGTGTTTGTAAATAGGATATCATGTCTGCATCTTGTACAGCAAATAACCACTAGGAGGACAGTATGCATGTGTTAATTATTGAAACTGTCCTACCAATTTGATCTGAAACTGTCTCATTGCCATTTGTTTCTCAATAAAATTATGGAAAATAAATAAGTAAATACATACATAAATAAAAATAAAAAACTTTTAAAAAACCCAAAAACTTCACTTATTATGCACAGGGAAGAAGATTTTAGCATGCATCTATGGCCTTTTTATTCACTTTTCTTATTTCATCTGATTGTCTTTTTGTTCTATCTTCAGTTTCTGGCTTGGAGACTGGGAAAATTAAGTCCTTTAAGAAGAGACCATCCTCCTAAGTGAGATAAAGCAGACTCGCATGGGTAAACATTGTGCTGTCTTCTCAGTGGAAGAAACTGAAAGAGGAAATAAAATCCAAAAGATTCAACTGACATTGTGAAAGGAAAAGAAACTGCTCAAAAAAAAAAAAAAAAAAAGAATAACTGGGATGGGAGAAAGGAGAAAAGGAAGGAATAGATAGATAGATGAACTAAGATAATTGTACTACTAATTTCTATTAGTTCATCAAAATGAACAGTTAGTGCTTATATTGTTTGATCAATCTTACATGCCTCTATCTGGTGATCTGAGCAACTACACTGAAGATAACAATATACAATATAATAACCATTGTTAATTTCCTATCATCTTGTTTTGAAATTCTGTAACATTTATTACTATTGTTTTTAAAATTAAAAAATGAATAGACTGAGATCTATAATAATAATTTTTAAAACCTACTGAATCATGGCCCTCATCTGAAGTGCTTTAGATTTAAGAAATGAGTAAGGAGAAAATTTACTTGGAACTTCCTTTTGTCTATCAGCTCTGCTATGTTCAGCTAATAGGGACAACATGAACGACCAGAGCAAATGCAAGTCTTAAAGTAAAAAGATTTTTTAAAAAGTTGCAAGCAGAGCGACTGTCCACACTGAGAATCAACACCATTTCCCTCTGACCCTCTTCAATTTGTCTGCTCTGCATGTATTATTTTAGAATACATTGAAACCTGCCTGACTAATGATAAGTTGACATACAACAGTGATTTCATTTGTCCTTTTAAGCCTAAACTCTTGGTATTCTTGAAGGTCTGATCAAAACTGCCAGAAATCCTTAATCTTGCTATTACTTGTACATGTTATCTGACCTCTCCGTAACTTTCAAGACGTGTTATCCCTCTTCATATTTGCTTTTGGCCTTAAAATCTCTCCACACGTGGCCCTGGGGAAGGGCACACTTGTCCCTCTACCTAGCAACACATTTCTATCAAGAGTGATAAGAGTTTTTGTGCACATCCTTACATCACATTCTAAAAATGCTTATGAATGTTTTCTTTCTCATTTGATTAATGAATACACACAGGTCTAGAGGCCTTTCCAGCCAACACCACACGTAGGTTGGCACGTGAGCCGCATGGAGAGAACACACAGCACCACTGAATCCCATCACCGCAAGTGCTCCCTACATGCGGGTCTAATTCGAAGTGTAACACAGCAGGGGTACAGGACTGCACAGCATGCCTCTTGGGCACTGTACCTGTTGAGTGCCCAGGCCTACCAGGCCAATCATGATGACCAATGTAAATGCTGTAATTCTACCTGGCTAGGTGAACAAGACTTTTGGGACAGTGCTACAACACATGCTGTACTACCCCTGAACAGCACAGTTCAGGAGTTCACAGCAAGCGCTTCTGCTTTCCTAACTTAATACTGGGTTCCTGCTAACTTCCATACGGAAGCTCCCTCTGATTTAGTGAGAGGAGTGTGTGCCTGTGGAACATAGGGCTCTATGGGAGGAGGCGTCATTGGCGTTTCCAGAAAAATGGCTGGTATTCTTGTGTGAGGCTTATACTTGGTATGGTTTTTAACCATATC